ATCATTGTTGTTTGGTGGGCCTGGGCTGTGTTCGAACCCGCCACCTTAGGTGTATGTAGCTGGCACCTTAGTGACTTGAGCCATAGGCGCCGAGCCTTTTCTCTATTTTCTTAAGAAAACAGCCGAGTACAGTAATTTGTACCTATAAGCCCCACTAATTGGGAAGCTGAGGCAGAACTGCTTGAGGCCAGGAGTTCAAAACCAGCGTGGGCAACATAGACACCTTCCCCCAAAGTTTTAAAAAAACAAATTAGCTGGGCACAATGGGATATGCCTAGCGTTCCAGCTACTCAGGAGGCTGAGGTAGGAGGATTGAGGAGGATGCTCAAGCCCAGGAGTTCAGGACCCGCCCAGTGATACAGCAAGACTTTGTCTCTCCCCACCCCACTCACCTTCAAAAAGCCTACATTTACTCACATGCGTAAGCATTTTTCTTTTTTCCTTCTTTTGTTTTTTCCCCCCAAATGGGATTATGCTGTTGAAACATTTTTTAGCTTAACTAATGGACATTTCTCCAGGTATATACATACATTGCTAACCTTTTCTTATTAATAGCTACATGATTTTCTGTAATAAGAACATATCAAAGTTCATTCTCCTATTTGATAGACAATACTGTTCCCAGTGTTTTGCCCTTGGAAACCATGCAGCAGTAAGCATTCTTGTGTGTGTATCTCCATCTTACAGGAGCTTTTGTGTAGGAAGCAGGACTGTGGAGTCAAAGTGCATACACATTCCCAGTCATTGAGCATATTTTCATGTGTGTACTGTTCGTTGCAGGTCTATATCTTTATGCATTTTTTCCCTAGCTTTGTCTTTTTTCCTAGCAGTTTGAAGATGTTCTTTGAATATTAAGGATATGTCATATGTACTATGAGAATTTTCATCAGCTCTGTGCTTTCTCTATTGGCTTTATTTACAGTGTCTTTGGTCATATAATTTTTTTAAATGTTCATAAAATTTAAATCTTTTTTCATTATGGATTTTTGTATTTACTGGCTTGTGTCTTCCTTGCCTGGGGTTATACATCTAAATTTTCATCTTGCTATTTTAGTATTTGTTACATTTTAAGCCTTTATCTGGAACTTAATTTTGTATATAATATCAAAAGGAATCAAGAGTTGGAATCTTAGAGTTTGCCATAACCCTTCCTATCTTGTGGCATTTTCCATAGTTTCATAAACTCCATCTACCCAGCTCACAGTTGCCCTGGTTTCAGACCCTTCTCATGTCACGCTGCAAACCAAGGGAGGAAAGGAACTGTGTCTGTCTCTTTCTCCGCTGCATCCTCCGGGAAAGATGGATAAACACTGCAAAGCACCTACCATGCTGCCTGACACATTTTAGGCACTCGGAAAACATGCATGGGAGGAAGGAAAGTGTTGAATTCATATCTTAATTACTATGACTCTTTGGCAGGTTTAATATTTGATTGCTTTATCTGTGTAAATGGGGAAATGTCATTCTCCTGAAAGCTATTCACTATCTCATGAGCTCAGTGTTCCTTCCTGCGCTTGTGTCTTTGTTCTTTGAGACGTGCCTTCTCTCTATAAATCTGGCTTATTTTATAAGGACTCCCTCCTTCAGGGAAGCTTTCTTCAAACCTCTTCTCAAAATCCAAAAGCATTTATAAACTCTGCCACACTATTTAGCATTTTATCCACAGTGGATTTTAGTCATTTTCCAGAACCATCACTGTGCTTGGCACACATAGCCCATTATACATCAAGATTTATTATGAAAGCTCTTGGGTATAAGGAACCAGCAAACTGGGAAAAACTAGAAAATGACCCTGAAAGTTGCTGAATACCAGAGTGATTTTTCAAGTGAGATTGTATAATCATATTTAAATCGAACACATTTTTTAGATAAACACATGAATAAGCATTGCCCTGTCCAAGGCAGAGGTCCACAGGTTTTCTTATGGTGTTTGCTATTTCCATGGTCCCTTCACAGCCTTGACCAACTTGAACCTTTGGAGTTTCACAGATGGAAAAATAGCTGATGTGCCCCTATATTTACTTGGAAAATAACATCAAATGGCTCGTCCCCCTTTCTGCATGCATTTCTAATGGAGAAATGGCTAATGGCTAGGGCAGGGAATATACAAGGTGAGCCTTGTAATGCCATAAAGTACTTAAAAACAAAACAGTGGGGATATTTCAAAGGAACACAGAGCCAACTGACAAATGGCTAAAGCTGGAACAATTTGAGCAAAACAATATTGGATTATGGCCCAAAGAATCCAAAGTTCATACTGATATAAGTGATTGAGTAAATAAACGGGGGAGGAACAAATCTATAAAGAGGAATTACAAATAATTTTTCTTTTTTTTTGAGACAGAGTCTCACTATGTCACCCTTGGTAAAGCGCTGTGGTATCACAGCTCACAGCAACCTCAAACTCTTAGTCTTAAGCAATTCTCTTGCCTTAGCCTCCCAAGTACCTGAGACTACAAGCGCCCACCACAGCGCCCGGCTATTTTTTTGTTGCAATTGTCATTGTTGTTTAGCTGGCCTGGGCTGGGTTCGTACCCACCTGCCTGTGCCCTAACCACTGAGCAACAAGTGCCAAGCTAAATTACAAATAATTTATGCAAACTCTACCCTCAAGGAGATAGAGCATATGATAACTTCAGAGCAGAATTCACCACCCCTCACAAGTAGAATGCACTTAGTGACTTGCTTCTGAAGAGTTCAATATGAAAAGAGGGAGCAAAGTAACTTCCCGGTGGAGAAACCTGGTAAGGGCTACTTTTGCCAGGTGATCAAGGTTGATATCCTCAGTGATAAGTCACTTACATCAACTAGTATATTAAGTATTATGATAGTAAAATCCAATAAAGTATGGCATTAACATCAGTATTATTAGTTGTAATAAATGTACCACAACAGTATATAGTAACAGAACTGGGCACAGGAGATATGGAAAGTATGTACTGTTCTTGTACCTTTTCTATAAATCTAAAACCTAAAATAAAAAGTTTAAATATTTTGACTTAACTTATATTTGAACCTGATGATATGTACCCTTGATAAGACGTGGTAAGAACGACACCTCACTTCTGTGGTCTTCCTCCCAAAAACCATAACCACAGTCCAACCATTAAAAAAAGAGACAAATTCCAGTTGAGATACATGGTACAAAATACCTTACCAGTCCTCCTCAAAACTATCAAAGTCATTAAAAACAAAGACTGTCTAAGGGACTGTCACAGGTTGCAGGAGTCTTTGGAAACAAGACAACTAAATGTAATATGATATCTTGGATAGCACACTGGAACAAAAAAAGGACATTAAGCAAAAATTAGCAAAATCTGATGAAGTATGGAGTTCAGTTAATATTTCAATATTATTAGTGGTGATAAACGTGCCACAATATAACAGAATTGGGCACAGGATATATGGAAACTATGATACTATTCTTGTACATTTTCTGTAAATCTAAAACTATCCTAAAATAAAAGTTTAAATATTTTTCAAATATAAAGTTTAGGTAACAGATTGACTACACGCTTATTTCCACAACTGTGTTTTTAACTGCAGGGTGCTGGTGACAGCTTCGTGGGAGCTCTGGCCTTCTACCTGGCTTACTACCCCAATTTGCCATTGGAAGAAATGCTCAAGAGATCCAATTTCATCGCAGCAGTCAGTGTCCAGGCTACAGGAACACAGTCATCTTATCCATACAAAAAAGACCTTCCAGTTTCTCTATTTTGACTGCTATTAGCCCCAAAATTATACTTGGTGCTTTGGGAGTGGCCATTCCTGGCTAACACTAGAAAATGTCCTCTTCTGCTTTCTTTGCAAATTTTATGTTTATTTACTGAAAGTCAGGCTCAGCTTCCATTTACTTGTTTATAACGATGATTCCTTTGTTTTATATGCATTTGCAAGAGCCAATTAAAGATCCCATGACCAAGATCTGTACAAATATTACCACTATCGAGGGCCAGCAAACTTAATCACCAATTAATAATGTACTAGGTTCTCCTTACTGCAGAACTGTAGACAACATTGTTTAGAGCCAGAGCAGAGAATAATAAATAAGGGAAGGGAACATATGTATTGAATGTCTCAAGCACTTTTTAAGAGAGGCAGCTGATACTCAGTATTAGCTTAGTGTTGGCAAACTGTTTTTTGTAAGTGAAGCCAGAAGTCTGGCTATTTATTGAAATCTTTCAATGTCCACATACTATCAACTGATTGTTTAAAAAGGCAGCCACCACCTGTGGATGACATTCAGCCCATAATAGGCTGAATAAACAAGTCATTTGTTAAACCAGATTTCTTAGGAAAGCAATCCATGCATGTCATGGACCCTTTGCATTGGCTTAGGTAGGGATCACGTGAAATATTTTGCTTATAACCCAAAACCATTTGGTACTGTTTCAGCCTAAAAATAGCCAAGATCTCACCTACTAGAACTTTTAACAAGATGCCATAAAATAGCTTATTGACTTTAATGCCACAAGGTCCAAGGCTGAACCGTCTCTATCTAATTCTATGGCCAGAGAGCTGCCTCTTCTATTTCCTCCAGAGACACAGACTGGGCCATGGGAAAGAAACACCATTATTTTGGGATAGCACTGGTTTCCCAATGCTTGTACCCACCCTGGGTATCATTCTCTCACACACACACTGCAAATGGGGTAGGAAGGGAACCAGCAGAGCTTAAAATATGAGCTGATCCTTCTTACTTTCAACTAGAAATTTGACAAAAAACAGGACAATTTTTAAAACTTGCCTGAAACAACAGTCTGAATGAGAAAGTAGAAGTATGAATCTAGGTAGGGAAAAGTTATCTGAACATTAGGGATTATCCATGGAATTTCCAAGGTAGCTAGTTGTGTAGCACCACTGTGCCTCGTGTCAGTGCCTTTATGGAAATACACTATAGTTCCTCTAATTTTAAAAGAAAAGAAAAATCTAGGGGGTAAAGGAAACCAAAACTACCCTAGAAAATCCTAAATACTGCTTTGGTGACATGAGACTAAGAGTATGGACCCAGGGACATTTTCTCTAATTATAGAGGCACAAATCAAAAACAGAAGTTCTATTGGTTTCTTTTGTGTTACTAGGCTCACCTCTTATCATTCCTACTGATGCTTCTGTCAATTACACAGGAGTTTCTTCAAGATCATTCTGGAGTGTTACTCTGCCTTTTTCCATGTATGAAGTACAGGAGGAACAGGCTGGAAACTCTTGCATAGGTATCATTCTGGAAAATTTTCTTTTAGTACATGAAACAATGATTATTTTTTAGTAATGTGGTTGATTTTTTAAAATTCAGATAGTGGATAAAAACATCATTAAGAGACAATAGCATAGGCTATTTTAAATTTTTTATTAAGGCCTATAAAAATAGCCAGAAAGATAAATAAGTGTGATGCAATGATATCTGTCCTAATATGAAGAACTTTCTTTGACTACATTGTTTTCCTTCACAATGGCCTTCAAATCACAAGAGGCAGTGATTCTGCGCCATTTCCTCTTCTTTTATTACATACTGCAGGATTTTTAAATCAATATCCCGCCCTCAGTCTTCTCATTTATAAATGAAATTCATTTTCAATCCATTGTTTAAAGGGAGCGTATTTTTTTCTCTTCCACGAAGAGGACTCTTTTTCTCACTATAGGGAGAGAAAAAAGAACTGTAGCAGAATATTTTAACATATTATCACCATTTTTATTAAAAATACACACCAGACCATAAGCCCTTTCCTTTCTCTTAGTTTACTATTCCTTTGACATGAGAATATAGTTTATTTGCAAACTCAGATTCTCATCCCAGAGACAAGAGAAGACTAGAGAAAATGGTTAGGGCCACTGCCCATCAAGTGTCCTTGGTACCCCACAAGCTCAAATTTCAACCAATGTGAAATATTCATATTAAAAAAAATTAAGGGGCGCTGCCCATAGCTTAGTGCGTAGGATGCCAGCCACATACACTGAAGCTGGTGGGTTCAAACCCAGCTCAGGCCAGCTAAACAATGACAACTGCAAAAAAAAAATAGCCAGGCATTGTGGCAGGCACCTGTAGTTCCAGCTACTTGGGAGGCTGAGGCAAGAGAATCACTTAAGCCCAAGACTTTAAGGTTGCTGTGAGCTGTGATGCCGCAGGACTCTAACCAGGGTGACAGCTTGAGACTCTTGTCTCAAAAAAAAAAATTAAGGACAAAAATGGAAAATACTGGGGGGTCCCTGTGGCTCAAAGGAGTAGGGCGGAGGTGGCAGGTTCAAATCCAGCCCCGGCCAAAAACTCCAAAAATAAAAAGGAAAATACTGACTGTCTTCACCCAGTTAATGTCCACTCATAGGAGGTAAGCAAGGACAGACTAGGTAGAAGCTGGACTCCAGAAAAAGAACAGCAATACCTGAGCAGACCACATGAGAAAAGGCAGCTTGATTGAAAGAGTAAATAAATACACTTTAAAGCTCTACTTCCCAGAGATGGTTTCATACACTCAAATATAGATTTTTAATAGTTTGGTTATAGAATATTATAACCAAAATCTCATTGTTGCAAATATTACAGAGCACAGTTCTCTGAAACAAAACCAAACCCAAAAGTACTATCTGCCTAGGTAAAAGATTGGAGACTTGATGCTGGGTAATAAGGCTTTTACAATTCCTACAATGCCCTACAGCACTCCATTAACTTCCAACATCTCTCTCTGTCTCACACATTCACAAACTCCCACCCCATCTAATTCTTCTTTGCTGAAACACACACATACACACAAATGCACCCAAGGAAGATCCAGGAACTCAAAGAACTATGACATAAAACTTCTCACTGGTCCCTTCCATACAAAGAGATTTCAGCTTTGTTTTTCTCTTATTTTATAATCAATATGGATACTCATATGATATTCCCAAATTTAGAGTTAAATAAGCTATTTTAGACATAAACAAGCTAATTCTCTCCTGGTTTAACAGAACTAGATTTGGACTGGAAGTCTATATTTTTCTAAACTCCTCAGACGATCCTGATGGGCAGCTGGATTTAAGAATCATTAACCACTCAACAGAGTTTTTCATACAATATTAGTAAAAACAAAATATATGTACTACATCATATATTTGGGATATTTTTAACATTCTTCAAATCATCTAAAAAGTAGCCATCAATCCTCCTAAGATTCCAAGGAAGACTATAATGCATTACAAGACGGTAGTAAAGAACCAAACAATGTTCTGGTTTGTTTGTTTTGTTCTGTTTTTTGAGACAGAGCCTCAAGCTGTTGCCCTGGGTAGAGTGCTATTACATCACAGCTCACAGCAACCTCCAAATCCTGGGCTCAAGCAATTCTCCTGCCTCTGTCTCCCAAGTAGCTGGGACTACAGGCGCCCACCACAATGCCTGGCTATTTTTTGGTTATAGCCATCATTGCTGTTTGGCAGGCCCAGGCTGGATTTGAACTGGCCAGCTCAGGTGTATGTGGCTGGTGCCTCAGATGCTTGAGCCACAGGCGCCAAGCCTGTTTTGTTTTTTTGAGACAGAGCCTCAAGATATTGCCCTGGGTAGAGGAAAAACATCTGAATAAACAGGAAGAGGCATCTGGTTTAGAGGAGTGGTGGTGGGAGGTAGGAATGACATTATGGGGGTCCATGGCCTTGAATGCTAGGCTTACCACAAAAACAGGTTCTGATTTAAAAAAAATAAAAAAGTTTTAGGAAGATTAAGCCCATGTAACAGAAACAGAGACTTGGAGTGAGAAACACTGGGTTCAAACCTAACTCCACCATCTGTCAGCTGTGTCCCTGGGCAAATTTCTCAAAATACTCCACCCTTAGTTTCCTTTCCTGTGAGAGAGAGAACTCCATCTCCCTCCCAGGGTTGTTGCCAGACACACAGTGAGCACTCAATACGTGTTAGTTGAGTTGAAATGACACACTGCTACCCACGATCATAAACATATTAATTTTATGTCAAAATATTTGCTGCTTAATTCATAGAAGAATGAATCTGTCAAGTTCTTTCCCTACATCTAAACAAAATCTTATCTGCTTTAATTAAAGTCTATATTGTCTTGCTTAGTCATCCAAGGAATTAAAACTGACAAGTTTTCATTCTCTTTATGATAAACCTTCACATATTTAGCAAAGTTTAATAAGCTTATGCCTTAGCCTTTAATCCTTCCTCCTTGGAAATTAGCGTCAAGTTTTATACCAAGAAAAAGGAGTTTGAAAAGACAGTGACTGGCTCTTGCTATAGATGTACTACAAAATGGTCAAGTAAGGGAGTTTTCCCACATTTCCTTACCTGATTTCCTTCATAAAGCAGACCAACAAAGCAATGTCCTCAAACTAACAATTTACTCCCTGCAGTAAAATATAGTGGGAGAACTGCCAAGTTATTTGGTACCCTGGGCAATGGGGGCAGGCCTTAAGGCAAACATCTTCATCATGAAAGCCTACAGGCATTCAGTGGTGGGCAGAAAGCCAGGCAGTCTGCTATCTCAGAACATTCTCTTCTTCAGAAAAGACAAAGTTGTACTGTGAAAGCTCAGACCATTCATCAGAAAAATTCTAATCCTCTGTTTGAAATTTATATATGACTCTTTTCTCCCATTCTGAACTTAAATGATCAGAACTATTTATGCCTGTATTCCTTCCTAATCTCAAAATTTAAAATCAAACTGACATATTAAGTTCCTAATACTTCCATAGTAAGTATATTTTCACACTTAACACATTAACTGTCATATGAGCTATATTTAACTTGTTCTAGTTTTGAGCCCATGAACCATGTATGTAGCATAACTCACACATGACTTGATCTATCTTGACACGTGTCCCCAAGCAAAAAAACATTTTTTCTAATTTGGCAATCAATGTGTTAAAATATCCTAATAGGTTATTCAATCAACATTTATTAATGTTCTACAAATTTCTAAAAGTAAACTCTAAAAGAGTTAAAAAAACATTACTGCGGGCAGCGCCTGTGGCTGAAAGGAGTAGGGCACTGGCCTCATATGCTGGAGATGGCGGGTTCAAACCCAGCCCTGGCCAAAAACTGCAAAAAAATAATAATAATAATAATAATAAACATTTACTGTAAAGTTCATCTCTGAGTTTTCACCAGCTGACACAAAGAGATCAGGAGAGAAGCACACCAATCCAATATCTTATTTCAATATCAAACATAATAATTTTTCCACCATATGGTTATCCTGAAATTTAGACTTCTAATCATCAGGTACAAACCCAGAAATCCCTTTTCATTATAATGAATAACTGTTAAGTTTGAACACCATAAAAAAGGCAGAGAATTTTATTTCTGTTAAATGGAACTCAAGAAATTTTAAGCTTAGGGGCACCTATAGAGCACCAGCCACATGCTCTGAGGCTGGTGAGTTCAAACCTGGCCCAGGCCTGCTAAACAAAAATAAAAAGAAAAGAAAAGAAATTTGAAGCTGACAACTGTGTTTCTCAGAGCCATTTATGACTAAAAATGCCTGCTCAGCTAATCACATTGGCTCATGCCTGTAATCCTAACACTCTGGGAGGCCAAGATGGGCAGACAGCTTAAGCTCAGGAGTTTACCACCAGCCTGAGCAAAAGCAAGACCCTGTCTCTATTAAAAATAGAAAAATCAGCTTGGTGTTGTGGCAGGTGCCTATAGTTCTAGCTACCCAGGAGGCTGAGGCAAGAGGATGACTTGAGTTCAAGAGTTTGAGATTGCTGTGAGCTATGACACTGAGGGACTCTATCCAGGACCAAAGAGTGAAACTGTCTCAGGGGGAAGAAAAAACAAAAAAAAGCCTCCTCTACTAAGTATATATCCAGAAGACCAAAAATCACTTTATAACAAAGATATGTGTACCAGAATATTTATTGCAGCCCAATTCATAATTGCTAAGCCGTAGAAGAAGCTCAAGTGCCCATCGACCCATGAATGGATTAATAAATTGTGGTATATGTACACACCATGTAATATGCAGCGTTAAAGGAAGATGGAGACTTTACCTCTTTCATGTTTACATGGATGGAGCTAGAACATATTCTTCTTAGCAAAGTATCTCAAGAATGGAAGAAAAAGTATCCAATGTACTCAGCCCTTACTATGAAACCAATTTATAGCTTTCATATAAAAACTATAACCCAATTATAGCCCAAGAATATGGGGAAAGGGGAGAGAGAGAGGGGAAGGGAGGGGGGAGGATGGGTGGAAAGAGGGTAATCGGTGGGACCACACCTATGATACAGCTTACAAGGGTACATGAGAAATTTACTAAATGCAGAATATAAATGTCTTAACACAATAACTAAGAAAATGCCATGAAGGCTATGTTAACCAGTTTGATGAAAATATCTCAAATTATATTCAAATTGTATATAAAACCAGCACATTGTACTCCATGATTACATTGATGTACACAGCTATGATTTAATAATTTAAAAAAAGCCTGCTCATGTTATTCAGCCCTATTTTTTTTTAATATTACAGCCCTATTTTTAAATTTTTTAATAGAGGCAGGGTCTCACTCTGTCACCCAGGCTAGAAAGCACTGGCATCATCATAGCCCACTGCAGCTTAATCTGGGCCCGAGCAATCCTCCCGCCTTAGCTCCTTGCTGAGGCACAGGCACCTCCCACTGTGCCTGGCACTCCTTATCTTATTAAGAAGCAAAAAATATAAACAGCACAAAAATAAAATGAACAAATAAAAAACAGTATTATATGTCTGCTGAATGAAGGCTACACTGTCAACGAGGCTAAAAAACTGCCAGAGGTATTCAGATGCTCAGTCTGGAAAGGGGGCAAGAGGCCTTGAAAGCATTTGAATCTATTGTAGACTTACCAACTGGATCATAACGCAAAACAGTCAACTTTTCTCGTAAGCGGCTTCTCTTGACGTTGAAGAAATAGCCTGTTCCAGCTTGGCTCAACATTTTCACCAGAATATGTCTAAGACAAAAAAGTAAGCCTTTCTGTTTGTTACTTTTTCACATGTTTTGTCTCCCCATGAAGACCATGTTTTATTCCCCAGGTAATCCCTTCAAAACAAATTTGAAGCAACTAAATTACACATCATCCCATTACCTTCAATGTTCAACACAGGGCCTCATAAGAAACATAAAGTATTTGCCAATTAAGATAGCAATAATTGGCTCGGTGCCTGTGACTCAAGTGGCTAAGGTGCCAGTCACATACACCTAAGGTGGAGGGTTTGAATCCAGCCTGGGCCTGCCAAACAATGATGGCTGCAACCGAAAAAAAAAAAAA